ATATAATATATATCATCATATATACTATATTCCATATAGTATATAATATATATTTTTACATATTGATATAATATATATTTTATATATACACACAAACATACATTTTTTCTGTTCCCAGGTGGTTAAAAGTCCTATGAACTTCAAAATAAAAATCTTAATTATATATTGCTTTATGTTGTCTTGAATGGTAAAGTGTAGAGTTTTTTTTGGGGGGGGCATCTGTTCAGCCTCCAGGGGAGTTGCCATCCCAAGTGAGCCACTGCAGTTTATGGAATCTGATGAAGGACCCTGTCATATGCTTTAGCTACGTATACTCAATCACTCCTTGCAACAACCTTTGCAGTAAGTCTTAAGAGTAACCCAGCTGAGGTGACATGAAATTAACATTTTGCCTTCTAGCTTGGGCTCTTAAATTGTAAACAGTGTTCTTTTGCAGTCTATTTTGTGCCACATTTTTTCATATCCTTGTGCTTTTTGTTGGTGAAGTGATGTCTAGTGTTTCCAAGCACAGTGTCGAAGTAGTGTCTAGTGCTTCCAAGCCCCAGAAGGCTCTGACGTGTCTGAGAGAGAAAAATATCCATGTTAGAGAAGCTTCTTTGTCAAGAGTAACAGCAATGATGACTTTAGGTTCAATGTCAACAGATCTACAATACGTATCAAAGAAGATGTCTAACCAGAAACACATAACAAGGTTATATACTGGTGACTTAAATTCTTGTGACTGGAGGCTTGCAGGAACTTAAGCCCATAGGTTCCCCTAAGAAAAATGATTCAGAATTACCTAACTATCGTGATAATGAGAATCAACAGTACATTAAAAATTGTTTGTTGCTATAATATATATAATAGTGAAGAATTGAAAACAATCTTTAACTCTCGAAGTAAGACACTGTTAAATTATAACTCATTCATGCAATGAAGTTATATGCAACATGAAACCTAAGAGGTTAGAAGATATGAAAATTATTTCATAATGGCAAATTGGAGAAGTGGGACAGGGTATTAAACTATGTAAATTCTGTGAGTCAGAGTTTACATAACTGGTATCTATCTCTAGCTACTCACAAACACACATATGAACACACATACATATATGCACATACACAAACATACATACACATATCCTCAGAAGTAACACAGCTTAGAAAGAATGATAAATAATGATCATCTTTGAATAGTGTACTTACAAATGATTTAAAGTTTCTTCTTTTGAAAATTTTAGGTTATATATGCTATGTATATTATTTATTTTATAAACATGAATGGTTCAAACGGTTTTATCATTTTATAGTCACATTTTTTTTTACAAATAGTTTCAATCATCAACATTGGCCTGGTGATTTCTACTTTAAGAAAATAAGTTTATAAAATTTAGTTTCATAGGGACCAGCAAGTGACATGGTGGTTAAAGGCACTGACTCCCACATAGCCAGTGTGGCTTAAGTCCTGGACCTGGGGGCTTGCTTTCTCATTCTGTCTCTCTGGTGAGCATGTATGCCCTATAACAAGTTAAAAAAATAATAAAATGAAATAAATCTTTTAAAATTTATTTACATTAAAACATTGTTCATACTATATTTTATTCAAAAAGATATCTGAAGCAAATTAGTGTATAACCATAGCAGTATAATAACAAGACTATTGCAACACCAGCATGACAAGAAATTATGTAGTTATTATGTACCATGTATTTAAGACATGGTTAATAGGCACTTAGCATGGATTAAGGATATAACAGTGAACTAAAAAGCATTTAGTAAGGATCTTCCGGTTTCAGGGAGGTAAAAGATACTAATCAAAGAATCACACTCAAAAAAAGTAAATAAATAAAAATGAAACTCTGATCAGTGCTAAATATAAGAAGGAAATGGTACTTTTATGATTAAAAGAAGAATACTGACCAAGTGGAGGCAGTCAGGAGTTCAGGTAATTCTCTGGGTAACAGTTGACAACAGCAGAGATGTAATGCTTATTATGACTCTGAAGCTAGATGGATGAAAGACGTAGGAATAGAAGAACACAAAATGATACTTGTACTATAATTGCAACATACAAATATACATGTGTAGGCAGAGATGAAAGGAATTTGCAAAAAAAAAAAAATCTATTAGCATGGTGGGATACTGGGTGTAGATTTTTTTCCTTAAAATGATTTGCAATGTGGGACCAGCAGTTAGCATAATGGCTATGTCACTGGACTCCCACGTAGTCGACCGTGGTTTGAGTCCCAGACCTGGTGGCTTAAACTCACACCGTGTACATGTGCACGTGTGCCCAAGATCCTGAGAGGAGAATGGAGGAGAAGGGATTGCGGCGTGGCCATCCCCCCGGAGGGTGATTTCTTACTTTCTGTCTCTCTGTCTCTGTCTGGCGAGCGCACACGCCCTATAGCAAAAACCTCTCCAAAAAAAGAAAAAAAGAAAGAAAGAAAAAATGACTTGTAATGTTTTATATTATCTTTATTGTTAAATATTTTAAGTCAGTCATTTTTTTACATTTTTTATTTGACCCAATTATATTTTTTACATATTCAAAGTAAATATTTATATTCAAAACATTTTTAAAAAGTCTATCATGCTTTGTTTCATTATTTTTTTCAATATAAATATTATTGTTTAGAGATTAGTGCATGTTCACTGTAGGATCAATTGTTCAGGGTTAAAATTGTTCAAGATTATTCTTAGTACTTACCCTACTCTGTCAAATATTCCTAATTCTTCTGTGGAACTGCAACATTTATTTATCTGACCTACCCTCTACTCAGTTTTACTTGCTTTGTGTATCAAAGTTAAAGACTGAACATGCATCAAAACCATAATAAAATTAAATCAGATTCTTTTCATTTTCTCTCCATGGAAAGGATCCGTTGATTGTACAAGGAGAAGAAAGAGGAAATAGACACCGCATGGTCAGTGAGATGGTGATGGGCTGACATGGCCAGCACCTCGCCGGGGGTGCCTGGGGTTTTTGTGGTCTGGATCCCCTTTCCTGGTGAGAGAAACAAGCAAGAGAATAAGACAAGCTTTCAAAGGCTACAAACACCCCTGGGAGGGTATCCTCACTGGTCAGCGTCCAAGGAATAGTTCTCAAACTCACTTGCACTAAACACTCCTTCCCAGTATAAGGCGAAGGTCATGTGAGTGGGGTACCCTAATCCTGCACACGCGTTGCAGTAAATGAATATATCTCACACCTAACCAAACTACTCTTTGAAAACAAGAATTTCCGGCAAAAGCGCTAGATTGTCTTCCTGCCCAGGTCCTTGGAAAATAGGCAACAACTCTCAGATCACAGAGTAAGAAGAGGCCCCTGCCTCACTCTGTGTTGGTAGAAAGTCTAAGCTGAGTTTGTTACCTTTTCATTGCATGAAACGGCCATCAATTGATCAGACAATTTGAGAACAAAGATTTTAAGAAAAAAAAAAAAAAAAAAGAACACAGCCTTCCACGAAACCCTGAGAGTGTCTCACCATCTCTATCTTGCTGCATCGTTTCTTCTTCATTTTCTTCCCTCTCTGATTCCTCCCCTTTCTCCTTCTCTCTTATCCCTCCCCTCCTTTCCCTGCTCCTGCCCTGCTCCCCCACTCCTTTCTTCTGCTTTTTCTTCCTTCCTCCAACATGGACTTCCCAGGTTTTTCAGTTTCTTTCCCCAATTGTTTTCTTTACTCCTTATTTTCTTTCATAAAAGAAGATATTTTCATTTCTTATGACAATTGTGTTCCCTCCTTTTCATCTCAAAATTAATGAGAACAAACATTTAAAAAAAAAAAAAAAAAAAAAGAACACAGCCTTCCACGAAACCCTGAGAGTGTCTCACCATCTCTATCTTGCTGCATCGTTTCTTCTTCATTTTCTTCCCTCTCTGATTCCTCCCCTTTCTCCTTCTCTCTTATCCCTCCCCTCCTTTCCCTGCTCCTGCCCTGCTCCCCCACTCCTTTCTTCTGCTTTTTCTTCCTTCCTCCAACATGGACTTCCCAGGTTTTTCAGTTTCTTTCCCCAATTGTTTTCTTTACTCCTTATTTTCTTTCATAAAAGAAGATATTTTCATTTCTTATGACAATTGTGTTCCCTCCTTTTCATCTCAAAATTAATCAGTTTTCTTGTTTTTCCCTTTAGATAGGAAAACTGATGCTGTGAAAATGAAGATGACTTGTCCACCATGTGAGAAGTCTTGCTCCAGAGCAGCCATGACCCAGTCTTGCGTCTTACCACACTTATCAGACACCCAAGCCCAGTCTCAGATGGATACACATCCAGCCCATTCAAATCACCAATGTCAGACCTGAAGGCTTGAAGTCTTGCTTTTAAGAATTATTTTTTTTTTCTTTCTTTCTTTCTTTCTTTCTTTCTTTCTTTCTTTCTTTCTTTCATTCCTTTAATTTGATTAGAGAGGGACAGAGCACATGTGGGGGGGTGGGGAAGAGAGAGGGAAAGTGAGAAAACAAACCACCAGGTCAGAGACTTGAACTGTGGTTGGCCATGTGGGAGTCTAGCGCCCTTAACCACCACACCTCCTGCCTACCCTAAAGTCTCGATCAGGATGCTCCTCGTTCTTATCTGAGATTCACGTTGGGGTAGGAGTTTCTGTTCTTTCAGAAGTGAGAAACTGAAGGTGTCAGAATTAAGATAGTCTCTCAAGTTGGGTTCAGGTGGGGAGAAACAGAGAAAGGAGACTCTTATTAGGGACACACGACCCCTCCTGATAGTGCAGAGCTCAGCTTAAACATCTCCATAGAATGGTCTCCTATTTGTCCTCCTGTATGCTTCTTTTCTGTCATTTATCACAAATAAAACTTAACTTTCGCTATTCAAGTTAACTTTGCATTTAATTGGTTTACTTCCTACCTTTCACCTCTATGAGAAGGCAAACTCAAGAAGGAAGAAGATATGTCATCTCTGTTGTCAACAGGCCTGTAAATACCTGCTGAATAAATGAGTTCTTAAATAAACAAAACTAGCTTTTATTGAGACTGTCCTGTGTTGTGCCTAAATGAAGTGCTCTATAGCTAAAAGATAATGGAAAAACAAGTAAACAGAGAAACCTGAGACAATGATCTAAGACAGTGTGGACCATGTATGAAATCATTTCAACATATACAAAATAGTAAACATTTAGTAACAAGTTCTTGTACTTTTTTTTTTTTTTTGAAAGCAGGTGTGTGTCTGACACTTCAGCAACCTCCATTCCAACTAGCCGCACAAGTGCTCACTGCTCACAGCTCACTTGCAACGTGTGGCCATGGCTCCTGTGTGAATCTGTCTGTTTTAGCGGTCAGGACCCTGAGCCAAAGATGGTGAGTAACTGGCCCTTGGCCATGACACAGAGGTTGCTCTGTGCACAGACCATAGCCCTGAGTTTTCTGAGCAGGATGCTTTCGCATTGCCAGAGGCTAAACAGAGCCAGGATTGATTGTACTGCTGAGATCCCACGACTATCACCATGGCTTCTATTAGAGCTGCACAAACATGGGTGGGTTACTTACTGTCTGGGACTTAGGCTTCTCATAGATTCTTCATCGTGAACTAGAATCATGTTTTTCTAAGAATTTACATACAATGAGAACTGGCTCCATAGCCTCATGATTAAGGGACTTCCATATGGCCAACCATGGCTCTAATCTTGGCTCTGGAGGCTTTGAAAGCACATTGCCATGTGTGCATGCATGCCCTAAATTCTGATGGGATGGAGAAATAGAGAAAGGATTTGGCAGGACCATACCCCATTGGAGAGTATTTCCTCCCTCCCCATCTCTTTCTGGTGAGCACATGTGCCCATTAGAAATGAAAATAAATAGATCAAATAAGATAACCACTGTGTTAAGGTGTAAATTGTGTCCTCTACAAAAGATATGTTGAAGTCCTAATCCCTAGTGTTTTAGAATGTGACCTTATGTGAAAACAGAGTTGTTGTGAATATAATTAGTTAAGATGAAGTCATGGGAATTAGGTGGGCCCTTCATCCAATATGACTGGTGTCCTTACAGGAAGAGGAGACAAGACCCAGAGCAGAGGCACATGTAGAGAATGCCAGATGATGACAGAGTTAGAGACTGCAGTGATGCAGCTCCAAGCTGAGGCACACCAAAGTCTACTGGCTGTCATTAGGAACCAGAAAGAGGAAAGGAAGGGTTCTACCTTGGTTCTCAGAGGAGGCATGGATCTGTTCATGCCTTGATTTCAGACTAGTAGTCTCCAAAGCTGTGAGAGAATAAAATTGTATTAAGCCACCTACTTTGTGGAACTTCGTTATAGCATCCTTAGGTAACTAATACATTTCTAACCAAAGTAGAAAATGCCAAGACACTTATGAATTCTACATAAAAAACATGAATATTTTTAGCATAAGTATGCCTCACATTTAGGATATACTTATACTTTACTTGTGTTCTGTATTTTTGTTTACTAAATCTAGCAACCATTCTCCATAAACTATTGCATAGTATCAACCACAGCTTTTAAAAACATTAACATTTTTGAAGAGTTATTTATTTAATTTTATTTACTGTTATCATTATTTTTTAAATTTGCTATTGGGTACATCTGCTCACTGGAGAGAGAAAGCAAGTTGCCAGGTCTGGGACTTAGCCATGGTTGGCCATGTGAGAGTTCGGAGCCTCAACCACCACACCACCAGCTGCTCCCTAAAACATTACATTTTATTAGGATTCCAT